CACCTAGGTGTATATGGCTGGCGCCTTAGCCACTTGAGCCACAGGCGCCAAGCCTATGCTGTCTTTTTTGACTGCAGATGGCCATTTTTTGTTTCACCTTTCAATTAGTTCTTGTTTTCTCCTGGTTAATTTTTGTTTGCTTGTTTGTTTTTCTTGATCTCAGTGGCTTTCTTCAGCAGGCTTCGTGGTAGTCCTCGGTCATCCATATTTAAGAATAAAGCACTGAAACATCTAGTGGGAACTAGAGTCGTTCGGATTGTTAATGTCAGGCTTTGAAGATGGCTATTGTGCTGTGGGAATTCTTAATGCCACCATGCAGAAATGTTTTCTCTGTAGCTACTCATTTTTTCAAGAAAATTAATCTCATTTTCCTATGCCCTTTCCCCTTTGGCCAGAGAAGAAGTGGCAGCATGGCACCGGGGGTTTGAGAAACAGACTGTTCTACAGATAGACTTTGAGTTAACTTCAACTTTCAGCTTCAGATTTCATTTTCTGAAATGCTGTTTTTTTCGTAAAAGTATCTCTTTCATTCTTTGTGGTAGGATATGTGTACCTTTTTATAATTTAGTGTGTTCGATCTAACTTGTTTACCTAGAAATCCTCTCACATAGAGTCTCTTTCTAACCGTTACCTGGCAGAGAGATACAGAAAAGTGAAGAGTGACTAGAAGTGGATTATATAAGGTGGAGTTGGAGATGGGTCATTCATGTATTTTCTTTTAGGAAACATCCAGCACTTCGTACTGGCTCTGAATGTGCCTTTGAGGACTTTCTGTGATTAGGTGTAGAGAATTTTTAGGAAATTTCTGTGTCTATAATACCAAATCAGCTTCTCAGGTGGCTAAAGCCAGATTCTCAGGGTAAACTCTGTGATGTTTTCTTTCTAAAGGTCCTGTATCCTGTATGTTTTTAGTAAACTATTTTTAGGTTGGTTTTTTTTTTTAATGTGTGAAGAGAATCTTTTTGTTAGACTTTTTCATAAGTTGTTGTTAGTAGTTATATATTCTGTTAGCATTTGCTGGCTTATTTTTTTATTCTCTATGTAAATTATGATCTGGCATTTGAATGTTTTTGCTCTTTTCTATCTCCTTGCTTGTCCATTATCTCATTTTTTTCCTTTCTGAAGATTATGATTGCTATTCTTTCATTAAAATTTACCTTTCTTCCCGTTTTACCTGATTTTTGTCATTTAGGTAAAAACAGATGACATAGCAAGGATTTATCAGCCTAAGCGTTACGCTTTGTCACCCAAGACGACAGTTACAATGGCGCATCTGCTTGCTGCTCGCGAAGATCTGTCCAAGATCATTAGGACAAGTAGTGGTGCTAGCCGGGAGAAGACAGCGTGTGCCATTAACAAGGTCCGTGCGTTGTTCAACATGGTGAAGAATGAGTTGATCATATCCTCACTTGATGTTATTACAGTCTTTAATCCATTTTTCTTTTATGTCCTGGGAAACCCCTCGCAGAGTGGCAGAGGGGTTTCAGTGTATGTGTATCTAGGCATGGTCATGTGTCCATTTGAATTTCTGTATTAATAAATTAAATCAAAGTTTTATCTGAATTAGAGGAATTAAGAATTGTTTTTTTCAAAAGCTTTAGCAAGGATTATTTTCCTTCTTTCCAAAAGGTAATGATGTTTTTGATGCGTAAGAATTTTTAGGAATTATTTCAGGTATTGGCAGACTCCTTATATTCTTGGTGTAAAGGGAAGAAAAGTGCATGCTTTGGAGTCAAACTAATCTGGGTTCACATTCTAGCTCTGTTATTTTTTTAGAGGAATCATCAAGTTACTGAATCTCTCTGAGCTTCTATTTCCTGATTTGTTTCTCTGACAATGTTCTCAAGTTAAACAAGCTCAAGAAATCTGAATTTTTTACTTTACAATAGCAATACCAGTAATTTAATCTAGA